GCTGCCTTCGGCTCAGGTCATGATCCCAGGTCCTGGGTTCAAGCCCCGCATCGGGCTCTCTGCTCAGCAGGGAGCCTGCTTCCTCCTCTCTCTCTGCCTGCCTCTCTGCCTGCTTGTGATTTCTCTCTGTCAAATAAATAAATAAAATCTTTAAAAAAAAAAAAAAGAAATAAGGAAATGAGAAAAAATAAAAGTATTTAACTAGCAGGTTCAAGGGGCCAGTATATTTGACAGGTTGCTCATTTTCAGGTGCTTTTTCTTTTCTTTCCTTTTTTTAAAAGTAATAAGAGGTTTCTTTTCTTTTACAAAAAATTTTTTGTCTAACATGCAAATAATAATTTTAACCAGTAGGTTGAATTATTTTATTTTTTTGACGCAGAGAGAGAGAGATCACAAGTAGGCAGAGAGGCAGGTAGAGAGAGAGAGGAGGAAGCAGGCTCCCTCTGAGCAGAAAGCCTGATGCGGGCCTCCATCCCAGGACCCTGAGATCATAACCTGAGCCAAAGGCAGAGGCTTAACCCACTGAGCCACCCAGGCTCCTCAGGTTGAATTTTTTTTAAATTAAGCCAGTAGGAAGGATTGTACAGTTTCTTCACATTTCCAATTTACCAAGACACTTTTAATGCAGAAACATCCACTTCCTTTTTCTCCAGGGAAACCTGGGGTTTCACAGAGTTTAGCTGATTTGAGTTAATCATTTTTTGGTATGTCAGATACTGACAATCAAATACGAGACAAAACACATTCTGGAGCCTCAGTTTTAATGAATATTAGTACACTCGATGGAGTACGTCTCCTGCATCACCCCCTAGGTCCACAGAACTAAGGTGGGGGCAGGAGAGCCTTCATGGTATCTGACACCTGTAAGCTCTGGCTCTGAGTTACTGCCCTAGTCTTCATTTCCTACCTGTGTCTGGCCTTTTGTTTTCAGCTGCAGGAGTTTCTACAGTCCTGGAAGTCAGTGCCGCAGCACCTTGCCACCCAGAGGCTCGGTGCTGGCCTCCCTTCCTCCTGCTCACCTTCTTAGCTGGCCAGCCCTGTGTCCATAGGGAGCCCCAAACTCCCCTAACTGTGCCCTCCGGGCAGCTGCATACCTTCCTGGCCAGCCAAGGGCTGGGCCATAGTGAGGGGCTTCTGAGACCAGAATCATGTTTGGCTTCCTGGAACCCCTCTTTGTCATACTGTGGTCCTATCTGGGACGTCCCAGTGCTGGGGCAGGGAGTCAGCCCCAGGGGATGGGAGTTACCGCTGCTGCACTGAGAGCAGAGTCCATAGGACTAAGCATAAGGCTGGTTCCCATAAAGTAGAAAGGTGGTAGAAGAGCGACATTCATCACCTTTTCTTTATAAAATGGGGGAAAACACTAGATCTAGAAATGATTTCTTATTCATCTTTCCATCTCTAATAATAAGAAGAAGAAGTTGAAATTTATTGAGCAATTACTACGTGCCAGATGTGGTTCTAAGCACTTTTCATATCTTAACTCATTTAATTCTCAAGTATCCTTAAGGACAGTGATGCTCAGATAGGTCTTGTGGTTCCTAAGAGGTGGAACTAGGGTCAGACACTGGCCAATAGGTCCCAGAGTTTGTTCTCTTAACACTGCCCTGAGCTGCTCGGTGCCAGCACGGTGCCTGTCTCTTATAGCTGTTCACTACATTTTCATTGGCTGGCTCAAGAAAGGAGCATTTTGAATGATCATCTGAATACTTCCCTTGAAGTGAGAATTGAGTTTTTACTCTTTTCAGACTTGTAGTATACCCATCCATTGACTTATATCTGCTGGGATAAAATAAAAGGTCATAAAAGGACCCCCCCTCTAGAAGTATATTGCTAGGGAATTAAGTATAGACAAAGATAGGCTTTCAAAGCCCTAGGTAAAAGTAGATTTTTCCATAAAGAGTGCTGACAGAACTGGCTAGCCATTACAGACATGCACACACATAAAACCAAAACTTCATTTTTTTTTTGTATTTTTTATTCTTAACATTAAAAGGGAATTCCAAGTGGATGAAAGATAATATATGAGACCATAGGTGTGTTGAGAGGATAGATGAGCAAATTTGTATTTCTAAACTTAGAGTAGAAATGTCTTCCTGAGTACAAAACAAAATCCAGACACAATAAAAAAAAAAGATTGGCAAGATTAGAGTGTTTTAAAAACACCACTGATAACCAAAAACCATGGGCAAAAAATTTCAAAGAACAAACGAAAAATTGAGAATAAAAGCTATTGCCATGAAAGACCATTGCCATGAAAGACCAAAGATTTGTTTATCTTTAACATACAAAGAGCTCTTACAAATCAACAAGATGAACACCCAAGGTTAAAAATAGGCAGAGAATATAAAAAGGCATTTCACCAAATGAACAAATGGCCAGTAAATGAAAAGGTGCTCATTTATGTTCATAACTAAAGAATTTTTTTTTTTTTTTTTTTTTAAGTAGGCTCTATGCCCCACATGGGGCTCAAACTCACCATCCCAGGATCAAGAGTTACATGCTATACGGACTGAGCCAGCTGTGTGCCCCAAGAGATGTATTTTAAAATATCGTTACTGATGGGATTGCCAAACATCAAAAAGTTTTATTTTGGTGTTACTGTGTGAGAAAACAGTTCTCATACTAGTAGTAAGTAGTAGTTCTCACTAGTAGTGAGAGGGTAAATTATTGGAAGTGCTTTGAAAGCCAATTGAGTAAGATCTATCAATTTTTTAGTTGGTTTGGATTTATGAACGAGTTGCAAACATAGTGCAGAAGGTTCCTATATGTCCTTCACTCACAGTTCTCTTGTTTAGTTGTCCAAAACGCTTTTAGAGCATTTGGGGTTTCAGAGTTGTGTGTAAGGGCTCGCACACCTGGATAGAAGCTTGCAAACACAGGTGTGGATGTCAAGGGTGTTCGTGGCAGCGTGGTTGCAAATAAGCCCAATTGCCCTCTGTAGGAGGCTGGTTACATAAATGCTGGTACACAGTGGAGCCCCCTCCAGAACTTCCGAGAGAAAAGAACAAGCTATAATTTGCTACGAGAAAAAGTGTGATAAGAAGTATGATTAAGTGACTCCTGACATTTACAAAACAGTGTGAATGTTCTTTTTTGGATTTAAAAACATGTATGTTGATGCTTGTATAAGCATCAAGAAACATCTAGAAGACTCGCTGCATATTAGAATCACCTGGGGACACTGAGAACTACCAACACCTGGTCCTTTTCTACAGCCATTGAATTGGAAGTGGAGGAGTGGGGCCCACGCCCCCATCGCAGGTGATGCTGGGGTCCTGGGTGGTCCCAGGTGATGCTGGGGTCCTGTGAGGGTCGAGAGCCACTGGAATAGGAGGATGCCACCGTTAGGGAGACTTCAAATTTCACACTTTACTGTGCAGCTTTTCTCCCCAGTTGTGTTTGTAGTTTTATATATACTTTTTGAAGTATGAAAAGAGTAAAAAAGACTGTTTTGTGATGAAAATCAGATATAAGGCAGTGGAGACATATATACAGGACATGTATCCGCAGATATACAAAATTTTCTAGAAGTTTAGTATTTCTGAGCATTACTCTCCTTTAATATGTATGGGGCTTGCTGATTTCCACTGATAATGGATTTTTAAATTTTTTCCCCTCTCTCACCCTGAAAGGCCAGGGGCTGGTGAGGGAAGCTGAGGTCAGCTCTGTGCTTCGGAATTCTTTTTTTTTTTTTTTTAAAGATATTATTTATTTCAATCTCAAGTAGGTGGAGAGGCAGGCAGAGAGAGAGAGAGAGAGGAGGAAGCAGACTCCCTACTGAGCAGAGAGCCCGATGCGGGGCTCAATCCCAGGACCCCGAGATCATGACCTGAGCCGAAGGCAGAGGTTTAACCCACTGAGCCATCCAGGTGCCCCTGTGCTTCGGAATTCTGATGGTCCTTTATTTCAGGTGACTCCAGGCAGCGCTCATTTACCCCATTTAGACGTCCACACTAGTACCTGATTATTATGGAAGCGGTCTCCCAGGGACGTGCCTAACCAGGAACACCTGAGGGGGAAAACTGGTCCTGTGGACTCTGCTCTGTTTCTGCTCGAATGAACTTTAACCTGGAGGTTGAGTCCCTGGGAGGTCTTTCCTCCACTGTGGGCCACATCTGGCATAAAAAAGGCCCTGTTCACAGAGATGCCCTTTATGGTGCCTGCCACGTTCCTCTGATAAGGCCTGTTTTATCCGCCTCGTGGGAAGGTCAGCTTTCCTTGCGCTTGGTTCTGGGGCTGGTATCCAGGCACACCTGGTCTTGGGTTGAAGTCCATGAGCAAACTTGGTCACCTACCTTTTGAAGCTGTGTCTGGCTTTCTCTGCAGAGGTAATGCTCTCTGCAGCTCTCTAGCTAACGTGGATGGCCTCTACGGGGAGAGCAGCAAGCGTTGAGAGGAAGCCTGGGCCGGCACTGCCCGCCTGCCAGCAACACCCTGTATGTGTGTGTGAGTGGGTGGTCCACGCTGGCTGTGACTTCCTCAGTGGGCATCCACACTCCTCCGGGGTGCTTTCTGGCTTTGCACAACAAACCTTTATTTGGGTGTCCTTAGTAATTCTCTCCAAGGTGAAAAGCCCTCCTTTGTTAGGACTTGAATCAAAAAGGCCTCTTTGGGGAGCAGTGAGAAATGGGTTTTTTCCCCCTAAAGTGATGTGGAAGCATTTAACATTTGCTGTTGCTGTTCACAGAGTTGATTCCTTCTTAACCTGTCCTGGAGGCGGGGAGAAGGGGGTGGGGAGGATGGGGAAGGCACTTAACACCATTTTACAGAAGAGGAAACTGATGTGCAGGAGACATTCCCTGCAGGCGGTGGGTTCCCAGGGCCGTGCTCCCTCCTAGCAGCCTGTCCTGGGGGGCCGGCCTGCTGGTGGTCTTCTCTTTCCCACAGGTTCACGTTTGGAGGCACAGACGCCTTCCTGCTGGTGGTGGGGATGGACACGGTCTGCTCCCAGGGCGGTACTGCGAGCACAAAGGCTTCTTTGCTGTTTTGTTTGGCAGATTCGCCCCAGCCTTTGAGATGATGGGACTGGGCAACGGGCGCCGGAGCATGAAGTCGCCGCCCCTTGTGCTGGCTGCCCTGGTGGCCTGCATCATTGTCCTGGGCTTCAACTACTGGATCGCCAGCTCCCGGAGCGTCGATCTCCAGGTGCCTGGCTCATCTGGGTGCATGAGCGTCTCCCCATGTTTCGGGTGGCTGGTGGTGGAGTCCCAGGGCCCTGGTGTCCACCGCTCCCTAAGGCATCCCGCTCAGCGGCTTGTGCACTCTGTAATTCGAGGTTGGGGCTCCCCACGTCCCCACACACCGCCCAGGCCAGACTCTCCACATCCACTCTGCACTTGGGTAGGAGAGAACCTCTCTGTGACTTAGGATGGCTCCCAGAACGCCCCTCTCTGCTTGGCCTGTGAGTGAAGGGTTTTTCATGGATCCCCTGGGGCTGGTTCTGGGAAGGCCACTTGCTTCGTCACCGCAACAGCCGTTGGGTCCTCCAGTCCACACCAGATCTCAGAGTGGTGTTGGAAGTGCATTTGGGTAACAACGGGTGTGGGAAGTGTGTTTCTATAGGTGCCAGTTGTTCAAGTCCTCACTCAAGGACGGTAATTTTAGCTTCCCCATTTATGGTTGTGTGTTGTGGGTCAGACAGTGCTGAGCTGAGACGGGGACTCTCCTTGACCAGACTTCAGTCCGGCATCTCTGACCCTCTTCTCTAGGCCTCGTCTTGGCTCCCCCCGCCATCCCGCCATCTCGCCTTTAGCCTGCCCAGCCCACTTAGCAAAGAATTCTGGCTAAGTCCTCTCCAACCCCCCAATATCTGATCAGGCACCTCCTCCCTCTTGCTGATGTCTGAGCCCTTTGCCTGCTTTTAGCAAGAAATCTCCCTGCCCTTGAGGTCCCCTCTTGACACTTTCCCCCCACTGGCCCCTCACTCTGCTGTTGGCTGCAAACCCTTAGCTGCCTCAGCTGGGTTCAGAGTGGAGCCGGTTCTCTCCCCTCCTGAACAGACTCCTGTTGCGGGAGCCTTGAAGGAAGTTTTCCTTCCCGTTTTCACAAGTGTCCGAGTGATTTTTTCTTTAACAGGGCGTTATATACACGCTCTGCTCTAGGACACGAAACAAACTCTGTGAGCTTGGGACTTCATCTCTCCCCTTCCCAGGCACGCAGATCCTGACGCAGACAGGGGCAGTACACCAGGAGCGGGGATTCCAACCCAGCCTTTCCTCTTCCCCAGAGCTGGGGCTCTCAGCCCTGAAAGCCTGCCCCTGTCCCAGCCAACCCAAGGCGGCCGCGCTTTCCTGGGAGCTTCCGCGGGAGCTGGTCTCTGGGCAGACGTGGGCTTGGGGTCCCGAGTTAGAGAACTGAATCTGTTCTGAGAGGTTTTGTCTGCCGAAGGGTTGAGTGCTCTGTCAGCGGGAGGGCAACGGAACTAAATATTTGAGCACCTGGGGAAGTGGGAGGCACTTCATGGATTTCCCTCCTTCAGGCCTCAGACTCTCCGGGAGGGACGTGGTGGGATTTCTTGGGAGATAAGCTGGGGTGCCCAAGAAGCCCAGAGAAGTGACTTCCTCTATTTGTAATATGGTTTTTCTGGGAAAAATTATAGCTTCTGTACAGTTGATTTCCAAGATTGCTCTTACCAGAACCCCCTCAGGCACATTTTTGGGGGGAAGAATTTATTCTCCAGGAGCAGAGTTGGCAGAAATTCCATCTGGGCTTTGCAGGACATGCAGAGAACATGTCTGCCCCAGGCTGCTGCCTGGTTAGGAAGGAGGAGTGGAATGGGAGCTGGGGAGTGTGGCGCTGGGGAGGGGACCCAGGAGGGCCCGGCAGCACTGCCTACGGGGCCTGGGAGCACACCTCCAGCAAAGGGCTTGCTGCTGGCTTCTCAGAGGGAGCTCCTTCCAGCGGCCAGGTCTGCAGGGACAGCTTGCGGTTTCCCCTCATGTTCTGTGCTGTCCTCCTAGACCCGGATCCTGGAGCTGGAGGGCCGGGTTCGCAGGGCCGCTGCGGAGAGAGGCGCAGTGGAGCTGAAGAAGAACGAGTTCCAGGGAGAGCTGGAAAAGCAGCGGGAACAGCTCGACCGGATCCAGTCCAGCCACGACTCGCAGCTGGAGAGCGTCAACAAGATCTACCAGGACGAAAAGGCAAGACCTGCTCTGTTCCCCCCTTAGTTCTGTTCCAGATGCCAGTTGGGACACCGCTGAGTTCTTCGGCTGGGAGGAGGAGCGGTGGGGAGGGCGTTCATGTGATGAGGGGGAGCAGGTCACATGTCAGCGGTTCCCCGAGTTGTTCTTTGCATCCCTGTCTTCTTTAGGCCTGCACGTTTGTCCCTCTTCATCCCCTTCCCCTGCATTACCCGACCCCCAGCCCTTCCCCTCCGGCCACCACTGGATTGCTCTTCATCTGTGAGCCTTTCCACATGTATGTGAAATCCTATGGCGTGTTTGCCCTTCTCAGATTTATTTCACTTAGTGTAATGCTCTCCAAGTCCATCTGTGTTGTCACAAATGGCAAGACTTCCTGCTTTTTTGTGACTGTGTAGTACTCCTGTGTGTGTGTGTGTGTGTGCTTGTGTGCTTTTACACTTTATCTGTTCATCTGTCGATGGACACTTGGGCAGCTCCCCTCCCTTGGCTGTTGTGAATAACGCTGCAGGGCATGTGGGGTACATGTATCCATTCAGAGTAGTGTTTCTGTTCAGGTGGATACCCAGAAGTGGAATTGCTGGATCATACGGTCGTTCCACTTTTACTTTTTTGAGGAAGCTCCATCCCACTTTCCATCGCGGCTGCACCCGCACGCCTTCCCACCTGCTGCGCACGAGGGCTCCCGTCTGTGCACATCCTCAGCAGCACCTTCAGTTCTCGTCTCTTTGATCTTAGCCATTCTGACGCGTGGAAGGTGATCACTTGCGTGGTTTTGATTTAGAGAAATGCTCTCTTCATTTGCGGGGTACTGTGCCGTGTTCACACATGTGTAGTTCTTCTCTGAAAATGGCTCCCATTTTATAGTGAAGTGCTTTTTAATGTCCCCTAATTGCGGGTGACACTATTTATACTCCTTCCATCCCCCTTAACTGACTGCAGTAGGATGTAGACATGGCTCACAGTGTGTCATAGACCGATCCCTTTCAAGCTTGTTTCTGGGGGAAAGTAGAGTTTATTCTCCAGGAGCAAAGTCGGCAGGATTTTAGTCTGGGCTTTGTAGGACATGCAGAGACCATGTCTGGCTGCTGGCCGCTGCCTGGTTACTGGGGAGTGTGCGGCTGGGGTAGGGGATCCCAGGAGGGAGGGCCTCTGCTGAGATGGGCTCCCCTGCTGGGCCGGGGGTGGGTGGGAGGGGCTGGTGTCGGGGCTGGTTGAGTGCCCAGCTGTGGTCTAGAAGCTGTTGTCCCATCCGCAGGGAGGGAGGAAAATAGGGAGGGTGTTTCCTGTGACTGTCTGCCTGCCGCCACACCCCTGTACATCCATGTGTCAGTGCCTGAAAGTTCTACTCTCTTAAGAAGAATTGTCATTTACTCTGAGCTTCTGGCTTTTTTCGGTTTTTACTTTAAATTTTTTCCTTTTTGAAATGGTAGCGATAGAAGATAGTATGGCTGTGTGGCTGTGTGAGGTGTTGGCTTGTCGCTCGTAAGTATCTTTTCTCGTAACTGCCGTCAGTCTACCAAATGCTTCCGAAATTCCACTGCCCTGCGAAATCCCAAATTTGGGGAGTGATAATCTCTCATTTGTTCTCCTCCAAGCCGGGATTTCGGTGTGTTGCATGAAAGTGCGGGTGCATAGTTTGGGTGGGGAGAAGGAAAAGAGGCTGCAGGTGAATTTCAGCTCGTGGGCATTCGGCTTTGGTGGCGTTTGCACTACTTTGGCTCCAGACCCTTGTGAAATGGGCTGCAAACAACCGTGCTTCCGTATTGGGTGGGCAGACCCCTCAGAGCACGCTGAGCACAGAAGTGTTTGTCCAAGAGAATTCCTGGTAATGCAGTCCGTGGAGCATTGTCCCACAGGCAGGTCCTCAAGATAGAGATGCTGGTTCATTTGAGTATAATCTGACGTGGAGATAAGAGCACAAACTTGGGATTCTTTGAAATATGATTGAGGAGCTATTTTCTGAACACCTTTCTCTATAGAGGAAGAGACGAGTGGGAACATCTTCCAGCCAGAAATGAGGTGACTGTTTCACCTTGGTTCTTTTTTTTTTTTTTTTTTTTTTTAAAGATTTTATTTATGTATTTGACAGACAGAGATCACAAGCAGGCAGAGAGAGAGGGAGGAGGAAGCAGGCTCCCCGCCAAGCAGAGAGCCGATGCGGGGCTCGATCCCAGGACCCTGGGATCATGACCTGAGCCAAAGGCGGAGGCTTTAACCCACTGAGCCACCCAGGCGCCCCTTTACCTTGGTTCTTAATGCTTCAGCTTTATGGATTCTTTTTAAAAGGGGGCTTAGCTCTCCCACCCCCTCCACTCCAAGCTGCTTGGGAATGGGGTGGGGAAGGCTATTGTATTTGTAATAAGCAGCTTACATATTGGAAATTCGGAAGTCCCAGTCAAGAGGGTGAAATACGTATTTGAAAGCGGGACTGAGAGCCACTGGGGAAGAACGTTTTTAACCTTTAAAATATGTGATAGAAAGTTCTTCTAATTTGAGGGTGGGGGCTAGTCCCTTAGCTCCAGGAGGAGTTTAGCTGTAGCTTGGTGTGGTGGTAAAACGCATAGGCTGTCCATTCAGGCAGACCTGGGTTCAAATCCTGTTTTCCTCAGCTCTATGATTTTAGGCAAGTCACTTAAATTCTCTGGGTCTGTTTTCTTAGCTCTCGAGTGAGAAGAGCAACAGAATCCCCCTCACAGCCACACTTGTGAGGATTCGGTGAGATAATATTTACAGAGGGCTTGACACAATGCTTGACGTGGACCAGCAGCTCAAAAACTGGGAGCTGGTGTTATTACAGCTAGTCCCAGTAATTGTAGTAACAGCAGTGGCATCAAGATAGAGATAGTCGTAAACCACAGCATCAGAAGTGATAACACTATTTTTGGGGTGGGGGGAAGGTGGACCTTTTTTTTTTTTTTTTTACTTCCAAATTGATACCATGGAACAAAATTGCCCTACTTTTAGGAAAGGATTAAAAGATGCTGGGGTGGCCGTTAGAACCAGTGTTGCTGATTCTAATGTAGCTCAGTGTTGCTGAGTGTTCCTGCTTACCACAGGAAAGGTAACAGTGACCGCCTCCCCAGCATGACAGGAGCTCCCGGTCGGGAGCCTCTGTACCGCCACCGCCAGACGCCAGACTAAGCTTTCCCCAGGGATCGTGTCCTGGATTTGTCTCAGCAGCCTCATGAGACTGGTGCTTCGGCTCAGAGAGTTTGTAAACCTTCCCCCAGGTGGAGGCCTAGACCCCCGAGAGCCCACACAGGGGAGCCTCCCTCTGCTCTGTGCAGACATAGGGCCATGGTGGGAGGAGGGTTGTCCTCCAGAATTCTCCATCCCTAAATAACACAAGGGGTGTGAGTGGGGCCACAGGGAACCAGGCTGGCCCAAGTCCATAGTTGTTGAAGTTAGGTGATGGGCTCCTATATTTATCTCCATGCTTCAAAAGAACACGGTAGTCCAGCTCCTTCTCTTTTGGCCCCATTTCCAAATTCTCAGGCATTAAAATACCAGATTCTCTGTGGCCAGGCAGTTCTGGAGAAGTAGGGCTGGTCTGTCACACCAGTACCTTCTCCCCCCCCCCTTTTTTTTTCTTTTTTTCCCCCACTTGGGAGGTCAGCACATGTGTGAATCGGAATGAGGCTCTTTTTCAGAATGTTAAAGAATCATCTGGTGGTGGAATAGAGCTTCTCAGCCATGGGAGGACTTTGGGGAGGTCGGCATCTTGGGTGGGGGTGATTTGCAAATGTCACGTGCCCTAGACATTTCTGACCTCCTGGAACCTTCCCCTGCCTTGGGTGGGCACTGTTGCCCTGGGGGGTGTTGTAGTCATCACGTGGGAGGGTGGACCGAAGCCCGAAGGCCAAACCCACCAGGGATGATGGGGTCATGAATGGAATGCTTCGGGTCAGCACTGTGTGGTAGAATTCCCCAGGAGGAGGGAAGTGTCCTGTTTGTGCTCTGCTGTGCAGTGTCCCGGCTACGTATTGTTATTGAACACTGGCAATGTAGCTGGTGGGTCCGAGGAACTGAATTGTGAATTTTACTCAGTTTTAAATATAAGTGGCCAAATCTCGAACAGCACGGGTTTGAATGATAGAGGCTGAACTCTGGTGGAAAGGCTGAGTGTCCTGTTCTGTGGGAGAAGCCACGGGCCGAGTCCGGGTTTCCTTTGCTTCTAGGCTCTTTCCCCTTTCACTCTTCGATTCCGAATTGGGCCATGGATGACGAGGACACCTTGTGGTGAGGCAGCTGTGCTCCCTGTGGAAGCCTCTGCTGCTAGGCAGTGATCAGTGGTGCAGAATTCTCCGTTCAGCTTATCCTGTTGGCCCTTAAGAACTTGGTTGTTTATTTGAGAGAAACCCGGCCTCGCCAGGCAGCACACCACGGTCGCCCAGGAGCTTCTGCAAACACGTACAGATTTTAAAAATACGCTGGGTCTGACTCTACAGGTGCTGGGCCTGGGAGAATATTGAATTTTGCTGAAAGATGGTACACACACGTGTGGGTGCATGGTTTTCTCCAAATGCTCAGATCCCAGAGAAGCGGGGGTGTGGGGGGGTTCATCTGGAGACCGATGGGGGAGCTACTGGGCATTTTGCAGTATCGCACTCTTAAAAATAAAATTGCCATATCAGGGTTTTCATTTTTGGGTTTTTTTTTTTTTTTTCCCTTTCTCAATGAAATGACTTTAAAATGGAGGGCATTATGATGAAGTGAGAGAATTCTTTAAAAATAATCTGGCAGTGTCGTTACAAAGTAACAGATGTGGATACTGTTTTTTTCTAAGGTATTTCTGATATCTTTACCCGCATTACTAGAATCCTTGACAGTTTTTAGAAGATGGGCCAAGTTGCAAACTTCCTGCTCACTTTTTTTCCCCAAGATTGCCAGCTCCCTCAGCCTTGGGATATGGGTGTGTCTGCAGGTCCTCGGTCCTGAGACCAGCCTCTCAGGCGCCCCTTCGAGGTCACCTGGAACGGGTGGGCAAGTGTGAGACA